GTGAAAAAATTTGTGATTAACGATTATTGGATCGAGCGAATATCTGCCTTGTTTAGCTAGGGCATCTGCTTGATCATTAGCCTTGTTGTTACTATGTCCTTTAACTTTTCTCAGTTGGACCGTAAGGTGATGATGTGATATTAACCACATTATAAGATCCCATATTAAAAAATTATTTTGTTTCAGTCTACGTCGTGGACTAATTGAAGGTGAACCTAAACGTTGATTAAAAGTATCTATACAATTCTGTGAATCAGTAAATATTTCACATGTAGCATTAGGAGGTAAAACTAATAAAATTGTCAAAATAGCAAAGCTTTCGCTTTTAAAAGAAGAAGGGAAAAAAACAGTAGATCCTGAAAAAGAAAGTTGTGGTAAAAGGGGATCTGTCTGAATCCAACCAAACCCAGATTTGCTATTAATTGTACCTATATCTGAAACAGAACCATCTGAATAAAATCGAAAATTAGTAAAAGAAAAAAATTTTGAAGCTATCTCTATTAAAATTAATTTAATATTATCGTCACATAAAAGGGCAGAATCTATAACAGACGATAATTGTCGTAAAACATGATTTTCATCATGTGACGATGGTATTTCTAATGTTGTAGTGATGGGAGTTACTATATTAACATGATGTTGAGATAAATAAATACTATATGCACTATGTCTAATTTGATGTAAAGGTTTGGTGCTAACATAATATTTAGATAGGGGAAGATTTTTAAATCTTTTATGTTCTTGGTTTAAGTGATTAAAGGTATTAAAGGTTGAAAGACGATTTGTACGCATAGAAATTGAACATTTAATACGTGCGTCTTGTAAAATTAAACTATGGTCATTAAAATGACAACCTGGACAAGGAGTTAAAATTAAGGGTAAAGAATGTGATGATTGAACGGTGACATTATTTGGTATTAAAGAATTATTATAGGGTAAATAGTGTTCCATGATAGTAATGGAACTATGCGTATCAGTATCTTGTATATATGTTTTTCCAATAATACAAGTTTGTAATCTAACATCCCAATGATATGTCCATTCATTACGCTTTTTATGATTACCCAAGGATTGATCAGGGATTTGTTGTAAGCGTGCTGGGATTGTGTAATTGTCGTTAAGTGGATGTGTTAAAGTACGATAATTACTTAGAATGAATTCATTTTCTAATAATTTAAACCAATTAGGTTTAGGTCCTTTAAAATTATTGTTGTTTAAACGTTTTACTTCATTCCAAGTCAGAAGGTAATTACCGTCTGCGGATACTAGTTGGTCTATATACATAATTCTTTTGTTTCGTAAAGATTTGTAATCATTAGATGATAAGTTCGGAAGGTATTCCACTATTGGTGTGTGTCCCCCTATAATGCCATAGCTGATGGTGGGATCCAAATGAATTTGATATTGTTGTAATAGAGATAAACTTTTTGATAAGTAGTTCGGTGAGGAGATTTTACCTATATATTTATTAGTATCGCGAGGTATTCCTGTATACCAAAGTTCTTGAGTTAAAATATCCAATTTTTGAATCGCTATAGGTCTTAAGATATCAGTATTGAATAGAGCCGATAGTACATTTAATTGTGATTTGACTAATAAATCCATCAAATTATCAATATGTGGGTACATGTTATTATAAATAATATTGTCTGCCGTATTAAGTGGTAAAGAAAAAAATTTTTTAAATAATTTTTTGAGAGGTGCAACCAATTTCTGTACTTGAGTGTAATTTAAGATCGTGTGCTGAAATAGATACTCTAACTTTGGAAAAATAACTTTGTTAATAATATATATTGCGTGAGCATGAGCAATTTTTTTGTGGCGCATTGTGATCACATGATTCATAATGATCGAGCGCGCTTTGATTAATGTTTGTTGGTGTCTATCTAAAGGGTTAATATATAATCCTAAAATTCTTGTGCCTTTATATTTTGAGACGATATCAACATCTGTATTTTGGCCATTGATGGTGAGTTGTACAGTTTTTCTATCATTTCCTAATCGTTGATTTGTAAGGATTTTGTATTTATCAATATTCACTTTAATTTTGGCTAAATCATAAAATGAGTGCGCAATGTCTAGTTTAGTTTCAAGCATATCTAAGGAAGGACTAAACCAGGTGGTGTCGTCGAGGTATCCGACCAGGGATAATTCAAAATTGTGAATGATGTCAGAATCTTTGTGATAAATATTTTTGATTTTCGTAGTGTCACACTTATAAGCAAGATGTGATAGTTGATTGATGTGATAAAACAGGGGGTCGTAATATATATTCCATAAAAGCGGTGAAACAACTTCACCTTGGTCTATACCCTGTAGAACCTTGTACAATGCTAAATTTCCATTAGGTAGAATGATGGAGTTGTATCGATTAGAAAATAAATTAATAAAAAAAGTAATTATCTTTTCCGGAATTTTAATACGTTGCAGAGCTAGTCGTAGTAGTGTTATATCGACTCTATCGTAAGCCTTTGATAAATCTTGTATGGCAATCCATAGTGGTTTCTTATGAATGCGGGCATGTTCAATTAAATGTTGTATTTGGAACAGTGGTTCTAAACATGATTGTCCCAAAACACCCGCGCGGTTGTTGAATTGTAAAATATTATATTTTGCTAATGATTGATTTAATCTTTGGGAAAAAATTGAGACCATCAATTTTCTCGTTGTTTCCAAAAGGGTAATAGGTCTTGTATTCGTAAGTTTACTATCCCAGTCATATGGTTTCGGTATTGGGAATAGCAAAGCATCACGCCATTTAGTAGGTATCGTATCTAAATGGATACATAAATTAAAGATCCGAGTAAGTAATATTAATACATCTTTATGTAGATGTTTCAAATCTTCATAAGTGATTTGTGAAGGACCGGGTGCTTTATTAGAAGGAGAGTTTTTCAAGACGACTAATACGTCAGAAATGTCAATTTGTTGTTGAAGTGTATCCCAACAATCAGTGTTGGAATGGTGGTTGGCCGGATCATATATTGTACGCCATGGTAAAGGTAAATCGTCAAGAGAATGATACATTATTTGATTATCGTGTTTACCTATATTTTGATAATGTTTGATAGCTTCTTTTTGTATAATTTGAGGGTTGTTAGTAAATATAGTATCATTATTATTATCTTTAATAATTAGTCGGTCTAATGTAATTTTTCTAGGTTTTCGTTGTAATATAGAATTGATCATTTTTGTTTGATTAGTTGATAAATCAAAATTTCTTTGATTAATAAAATGTTCAATACGTTCAGTGTTCCATTGTGATAATTCATCGTTTCTTTTTTGTTTTAAATAATTATATAATTTATAGATTTCTGTTTTTTGTGCGTAGAAATCTTCTTGTGTGATAAAATTATTTAATATAATGTCATAGTCCATCGAACGTCCTATTTTTTGTATGTGATCACGATGAACTTTCCAATTTTTGAAATATGAGGTCCACATTGAATCGGGAATAAGCGAGATAAGTAAAGATTTGTCTGTTGGTTTTTCAATTTTATTCCTGATATAAATATGTTTTAAATTTAGGAATTGTTTCGTCTTATATAAAGTAATCACGTGTTGGTTCAATTGACGGATGTGTAAAGGGTATAAATGATGGTGTTCTTGTGGTGTTATTTTTTTTTGAGGAATATTTGATTTCTTAATGTTATGCAAACTATGTTCAAATATGTTCCAAATATGGTCCAAATCATCTTGTGTCGAAATATTATCTAGATCAATGTATTGGAAACGGTATTTAAAATATATTTTTGATTGAGATTTATAATTTTCCCATAAATCATCGTTCATTGATGAATAATTCAGTTTTTCTTTTTGTTCATATCGTCTATTACCTTGACGATGTCGTGAACGTTTGAAAAGGTCATTTTGTAATAATGTAATCACTGCTTTATGGTCACTGGTAAAATGTGATGGTGGGATTTGTTGTGCAAAAGTATGAATTGATGCGTTAAGGATATTGTTATTACCAAATATGTAATCTATTCTATGTGTGAGTCTAGTAATTTCAGGAGTTTGGTTTTCTGCATGGTGTTTTGCCATATCTTTAAAGCCTTTCAATTTAGCCATCTGAATAATGTGGTGATTAAGATTATTTTTTTCTTTTGGGTAGCAATTGAGATCCCCCATGATAAGGTTGTAATATTTGTGATTATCGTCATTAGTATTTTGTGTTCTAAATAGTTGGTCAATGAATTGGTTGCACTCTTTTTTAATAATGTTGGTGTGTTTGTCTCTTCCCGCAGGTAGATAAAGGCATGTAATGTTCAATTTATGGTCACGTTTGAAGCCCAATTCGATATTTAAGACGTGACCTTTATGAGAACGTATTTGATGTACGTGTTGGTATAGGGTACTGGTAAGCATTATGCCGACGCCAGAGCCCTTGTTATCTCCATTAGCGTCTAAAATTATATAAATAGATAAATTTTTATTAGTTGGGTGAGGGTGTCTTTCGACTAATTTAATATTTTCATGTTTGTGGCAATATTGTGTTTCAGTTAAGCCAAGAATGTTAAAGTTGTGTGTGACAAAGTAATTGATAATATCAATTAATTTGGTTTTATAGCCTCCTTGGATATTGATGGTTCCAATTTTAAGATAATCTATAAAATAGTTATTATCAGTATTAACGACGTGTAAATTAGTAATGTGTTCTTCATTAGGTAAGTCATTTGTATCAGGAGTGTGAAGTATAGGTCCTGAACGGTGATAACTATTGTTGTTGTTATTGTTATAGTTGTTTTTGGTATATTGATTATATGTATTTTTTTGTGTTTTTTCTATATTTTTTGAAGAAGAAAAGGAACAATTAATAGGCACTTGAGATAAAGGTTGGTTTTCGACGCCAACCATGTTAGTAAAATTGGTGTATTCCAAAAAAAAAAAAAAAAAATTTTAATTGAAGAAATGTGTAAAAAAAACAATTTAAACGTTAAAATCAAAAAGGGAAAATCGTAGATGAGTCCAAATATATGTTGAGGATTTAATATCAACAGTTAACGTGTCGCGTTGAAGCTCGGGAGGAGGTTCAATGGGTTATAAGATTTAACGGTAAAAGTGTCATTTTTCATAGGTTCGTTTAGTGTTTTGTCAATTATGCCTTCGAAAATGGCACCGTCCGACATAGCAGCGTCGTCAGGGGCATCAGTGTCATCTTCTGTTGCCGGGACGAATTCACTATCTTCAGCTGAATTGTTGTAGTCTTTGTTATTTCTGAGGTTGTATTTGGATTTAGTTGATCTGTACGAAGTTTGATCATATGGTGTAATTTTTTTGGATATTTTACGAGGGCGCTCTTGGGCGGATGAAATTTCTTTCTTACTAAGTAAGCCGATGTTAGTGGTGAGACGTTCTAGGATTGTATCATATTTGTCTAGTCTCATATTCACGTTCGTGAGTGATGTGTTCATTAGGCTAGTATTGTGATGGATGTCAGCGATCGTCTCATCCGTTTTAACTTTATTTTCTTGTAAAGTTTTAATATTTTTTAGAAGACTTTGTACTTGTTTCTCTAGTTCTATAATTCTTTTGTCTATTTCATCATTTGATGTGTACTGATGTTGGTATTGAGGGGTAGACATAGAGGGTTCGTCCCAGTTATTAATGTCGTTCATATTATGTGTTTTGTTGTATGGTTGTCTTGTTTGACGGGGGTATTGTGAATTATTAGGTATTGGATTTATATTGCGGGTATTTGTTTGTGATGATGAGCGTTTGTTGTTTGTTTGTGATGGGTTTGAGTTTTTGTTAGCATTAAGAGAAATCACGTGGTTGTATCTGCTTTTGTGGTTTTCGTGAATAGTGATTTTTTCCTCTTTTCTATCGATGAATCTTTTATTATAGATTTTACGGTTATCTCTTGTTGTTTTGAAGTTTACATCGTCACAGTTTTGAGAAATGTGTAAAGGGGATCCACAAGTGTTGCATGTTTTGGCTGATATGTGCCCTGGGATGATGTAAATGTTGTGGTTCTCGAATAGTGAAGACGCGCCTCCCGTTGCGTTATCAGGATAATTTTCTGGTGAAACATATACGTAAGCATTTTTCATCGTTGAATATCGAGTAGTTTGTGTGAACGTACAAGTACGTCCATATACATGTTTTATAAGTGGATTAAGGTCCATAGCTGTTGTGTTAAGTGGTAGTCCAGTAATTTTAAAATATTTGCTGGTACGCTTTTTAAACTCGGGGTCATTCTGATTGCCTGGTAGAATTCTTACTACAAAATTTTCTATTTCAAGACTCCAATAATTTTCTTTCATGAAATAATCGTAGGCAGATTGTTTATCGAAGCGTACGATTAGTTGTTTGTATGCAGGTTTGATGAAAATCGGGCATCCACGATTATTGCGGTTAGGTAATTTTCTTGGTGGTTTTTTGAGCTCTTTATGGTCTATAATATTGCTGTTGGTCTTAATAGCAAGGTGTTTAATAAGCATTGATGTGTCGTAATTATAAGGTATGTCCATGATTTTTATGACTGCTGCGTCCAAATTAGCGAATTTTTGATCCAATAAGGTATTGATAGCTTCATTGGTTAACTCGTATATTTTAACCTGTTTAAGGTTATCGGGACTTTTTTCTATATATTGGTTAAGTGAGTCCCGTGTTCTAAAATATATAGTGAAATATTTGTATGTGGAAGTTGTATTGGATTCAAATTTGAAGGCGTTACTGTCACGGATAAATGCCGTTTTTAGTAAGTTAATTATTTCGTTGTTCGAGAGGTCAGATTTAAAACTGTCTCTGGGAATAAATCCTTTGTGTGTTTTGTTAGGAGCTTGTGATGTTGGTGTAAAAATATCATTTAGCACGGTCATCGGAATCGCATTTGGTAAGTTTGTTTGTGTGGCTGTTTGTGATTCCGGTGATTTTCCTTTATCTGGATTAGGTTCCGAGGGATCTTCCTCCATATTAGTCAAGTTTTCGTTGATTGGTGTTTGCGTGTGAGTATCATTTTTTGATGAGTCACGTGATGTGAGTTCAATTTCGCTGTGAGAAAGGTCGTGAGTTGAAGAGGTAGCTACAACTTCTTCCATAGGACAGTCCGTAGTTACTTTATCGATATTGGGTATAGAATTATTATTAGGTTTACTGTTAGACATATTGTTGACTGTATTCGGTGAAGAATATGTAAAGTATATATCTTCTTCATTAGTTATCGAACGATAAGATTTTTCTATATTTTTTAGGAATTTTTTTGAAAATTTTTTTCCGATATTAAAACTCATATGATAATGTTCCGAAAAGAACATAGAGGCCAAAACTGGTGAAGAAAATGGTACTTGTCTATAAAGAAATGTGTTTTTTAACGAAAATTTCTTCTGTGAATTTTTGGTATTTTACGATCGTCGGAAAGAGTTTCTCGAAAGATTTTCACACTTTATCTAACCTTATTTTCATGATAAACGTAATACGAATTTCTGTTACTATCACGTGACTTGGACGCAGATCGATAGTAACATAACTTTGCAGAAACCCGTGATTTGTTACTACGCAGTTAAGTGATCATCAGTATACAACATGTGACGACTCGTGAAATTATTGATGGTAAATAGGCAGTGAATAAAATTAGCCCGATTACGGGCTATATATATATATATATATAGTATGACCCATCTCGAGAAAGAGAATTGAGAGGCCGTAGCCGAATAAGACGAATTATTAACAACAGCAGGATTAGGATCAATGTACCTGACAATACAAACGGCTTTCACAATCTTCCTTAATAATAATTCTATGGGAGAATCGAGGAGATATTACCTGGTCCTTCTAAACCTTACTAACTGCCATACTTCCTTCAGAAACGCCTGTTAAAGTTCATTATAATCATAATTCCACGCAACGCTTTTACGATAGTTAATGATGTTATGGCTTCATATTATAGTGTGATAGCATAATATTATTTATGAGGCGCAGTTTTATTATTTATAAGTGTTTTAAATTTATTACGGTCATTCATTTTTATTTATTGGTTGAACTACAGTCCGAAACGACCATTAACGTACTTTCGGACCAAAATAAGTAGTTAGAAATGTATTATAGTTATTTTACCGAATGAGGTTTCAATTTTGTACCTTTCCTTATAACAACCTTCAAAAAAACTTGTTTGTGGTATGCAAATCTGGTAAAAAGTAGTTTTTATAAAAATATTTATAAAATTTTAAGATATTTATTTGTATGTTAGAAGTATACTTATCTTTTTATTTAATTTATATGATATTAGGTTAATCAAGAGCTTCTACAACTACAATCCCAATTCCAGAATTTCTACTTTGGGCTTGGGGAACTAAGCTTAATGCTTATTAAATTAATGTAAAATAAAATGAAAATAAAATTAAAATTTAAATTAACATTAATAAATTTATTAAATTAAAAATCAAGATTTCCGTTCTCAATGATAAAATCTTTTTCATCATCTGTTAAGAGATTATTACATATTATGTACATGATATATTTATTAATTTATTTATTAAATACTTTTTAAAAAAGACACATATAATGTATTGAGCAGCCTACAGGCTCTAGACTCATTCAAGACAGATAACGCTTATATTGCCTATATTAACCATAAAGTTTCAAATGTCTGTATCCCTAGGAAACTTTCAACAATGGCGTTAATGGCGTTACTGATTATTAATTATAGTAAATATAGAAAATATGATATCTTGAAACATTATGACACATATCTTAAAAAAAAATGAAAAAATGGAAAAGTTCATGTTTTAATTGATTGTGTCGGTTATTATACGCCTAATAGAGAAATAAATTTATTTCATGCGAAAAATTAATGTAACATTTTTATTTTTCGCATACTGTGTATAACACTGTTTTTACCGTATTAAAAAAAAAAATTTTTTAAAAAGGTTTTAATGCAAAAAAGAGTTTTTTTTCGTAAAAATATCATATTTATTATTGATGGAGACGCGTACATTGTATTTCGTTATTGAATGTAATTGAACCCAGAAAGTATTAGAGGGGTAATGTATTTATGTAGAAAATGGTATGAACAAACAAATATTTTTCGATTAATTGTTTTTACTAAGTTTATTTGATTTTAATTTTAGAACGAAATTATTACTCAAAATATTAAGTTATATTCATAATATAGCAGAAATTATTTACAATTCGGACTATGCAATTTAACTTATTTATGTAACTAGCGATTTTATTAATATACGCTTTCAGAAGCAATAAATAAAATTAAAAATATAATAAAATCATTGACTTATCAATCATATTGACCTGAATTTGACTTGGAATGCCTATCATAAAATTAAAGAGCACCGATGTATGAGTAACACGGGTCACTGTAATGATTAATTAGCAAAAGGAAATTTAGAAATAGTCTATCAAGAAAACGAATAAGATTTAACGTCACCCTTATTAGGGACCACCAATCAGATACTAACCACCCCACTTAACATACTTTCCTCCAACCTTCGATAAAGTATGCGTATTGCGATTGTATTTTATATTTGGCAATTTCAATGACTTTTTGAGGATCCTTATCATAGTCCTGCCATGTAAGAGAAGATTTTGCGGCATTAAATTTTAATGATTGATTTTTTTTTTTAGTGAAAACATTTTGTCATAAGATTTCAAAGTCCCAATTTCATCCAAAAAATTACTCATTCAAATTTTTTATAAGTATTAATTAATAAATAATAAAATTAAATATTTAAACATTAAATTTTTATGTTGGTAAAGCAAAAAAAAAAAAGATAATAAAATAGTGAAATTAATTACATGTGATTATAAACTAAAAAATACCGTCAGAGTTCATGTTCAAGAAAGAAAAATATTATAAATCAGTTTATGCTTATCTTGTGGATCGGTAATATAAGGTACCGGGCAATATAGAATTTGTATGAAAGGAAGACGTAAAGAAAGAAAGAGAAGACCTAGATGGAGAGAAGATAAACCTAAAAAAATGATGACGAAAAAAAATAAAATGAAAAACCACATACACAAACCCACACACACTCCCGCACTCCCACACTCCCAACCCACACTACCCACATACCTGAGAGACGAAAAGAAAAAGGGCCTAAAAGGAGATCTAATAAATAGAAGACCTAGACAGAGAGAAGGTAAACCTAAAAAAAAGATGACGAAAAAAAAATAAAATGAACCACTACATACACAAACCCACACACACTATACTCCCACACTCCCAACCCATACTATCCACATACCTAAAGAGAGATGAAAAGAAAAAGGGCCTAAAAGGAGATCTAATAAAAGTGTTTGAAACGCCAAAAAGAATAAGAAAATTATGAAGAAGATAGGTTACTACCGCGCTAAAGTGTGTGAGTGAGGTTTCTTATATATAAACAAAATAAAGTTAAAAATAATAAAAAATAAAATAATTTTTAAAAAAGAAACTTTTTGAAAAATATCCTACGCGTAGTGTTCAAAACGCCAAAAAGGATAAAAAACCACGAAGAAGATGGGTTACTATGTGAAAAAAAATAAGTTTTCGTTCGAGCTTTCTTTCCTTTTTTTGAAAAAAAAGAAACATTATTTTTTTTTTTATGGGTTACTATGCTGGAAATGATAAGAATGAGGGGAAGAGAAGGATATTTTTTAAAAAAAAATTTTCGGATGGAGAGGTATTTTATATAAAAAAAATTGTCATACAAAAATTTTTTTTTTCCCACGGAGTTTGCGAGTTTGCTATAGCTAGTCAGAGCCAAAAATCGCGTCATGATCAAACAAAACAATAGTAAAAAAATTTTTTTTTCTGTAAGAGATGACTCATTATTGATATTATTGATCATGTGATCATGTGATGAAAAAATAAGCATAAAATTTTGAAGGTCCGCTTATAAGATTTATAAAGTAAATCTGGTTGTTTGTATGAGACGCGATTTGTATATTATAAATATTATAGCGGTATGGTTTTTATTTTATTTTAATCTTTACGCCGCAGCTCCTGATCGTCAGTTTATTTGAATATATTTTTTTTTATAGACAGATGTTAGTGATAGTGTACTTCGAATAAAGCAATATTATTTTCTTTATTAAAATTTTCATTTTCCGATAATAATTACATTTTTTTTGTGTCGTATATTACAAAAGCTATTACGGTACTAATGTGTTACTTAAAAAATTAGGGGTATATTTACGTAATTTTTTTTTGGCGGGTATTATATAATAAACAAGAGAATGTTCGGTGATACTTTTATTATTACAGTATAACAACTAACAATTATTACTGGAAGTTTTTGAGACATTTGTACGTTGTATTACTTCTTTACATTATATAAATTATGTATTAATGTAAAAAAAAAAATTATTCTTTTTAAATATTCTTTACATGATGATACCTTTTTATTTTAGGTCTTAAACTTGCATTTGTACAACTTAATTCATTAAGTCAAACTTTCACACCAAATCGGAGATTCTCTGCGGATTGATATGATGTCTTTGGTCGCATTTTTACGAGACGAAATTTACGAAATGTTTATATTCATTATTATTTTGTATAGTAAAATAATAAGACGTATAATTATATTTATAATATTCTAACAGCTTACAAACTTTTATTAAACTTTGCAAAATATTTGTAACTTTTGTTATTAATTCATTTTGGTTGAACAATAAGATTTCTTCTATCAAAATTCTTTAAACTTTGGTATATGTGATATAAATAATAATTTTTGCATAATTTATTAAGTATTCTTTAATATTAAAAAATGAAGTACTTTTAATGTTACTTGTGTGCAAAGAAATTATTTATAATCAAAATAGAATAAAACATTATTGACTTATGGGTGATCTTGCGTATTTTAACTAATATTCAAATTTTATAGGTTAATAAATTTTATTCTTCAGGTTAATGGCAAACTGAATAATATCTAAAATATTTTATTTCCCCCAAAATTAATACGTTGTCACTGATCTTAATAATTTCTTCCTTAATAAATAATATTCAAATAGAAAAATTAAGAGAATTTATCAGCGAAATTAGGGTTATGTAGTAATGTAGATTTATGATATTTATATAAAATTCTAATTAATAAATGTTTATTTAAAAACTTAACAAATCTTTCAATATGAACTTTTCAAAAAAATAAAATCATTAACTGAACGTTCATACTTTATTGTCATATTTAAAAAATGAAAAAAATAGGTCAGATGATAATATTTATGAACTTGGTGAAATTTACATCATCATTACCGATGTTATACCAAAGTGAGTAATCAATATTTGTAAAAAGTTTAGCCTAAATTAAACGTTTATTAAAACCTAATTTTCCCTATTAGGGAATTTAAATAAAAATTTGGAGGAATTGTTGTAATACTTTTCCTTGATGCTATAATGTTCTTAGTAAGAGCCTATACACATATAAACATATTACGTAAATATTACATATATATTTAATTAAATTTAATTGCCGATCATAGGATAATTGCGTTTCCTTTATGTATTTAACTAGTCTTTTTTTAAATAATTTTGTTGCCGATCTTAAAATCATCGCAACAATAAAATAATGTTTTAACCACTTTTTTTTTTCATTTTTTTTTCCTTTATTATTTTTTAATGATTTTTACATACGAATTAATAACATATTTCTTGTTTAAAAATTATTTATTAAAATGGATGAAATTAGATTAAGTGATGATGTATTTGAACAAATAAAAGATTTTAATCATTTTATACTGACTGAAGAACAAAAATCGTTAATTGATAAACTAATAACAGACAAAGAATTAAAAGAACGTTATAAACAATATGGTTTATGTAAAGAATGTAAGCGGCTTAATACTGGTCTTTTTTATTGTTGGTCATGCAAATCACAATATTTTAAACAAAATTTCAAAAATTGGACAAGTGGAAATCATGACGTTGATGAATTTATCCAAAAAGCACAATTAAAAGCTAAAAATTTTGATCAAATAATAGAGTGGGTTGAATATGATGAATTTGAAGATGTTGAATATTTAGCAAAGGGGGGTTTTGGAACTACTTTTAAAGCAGTTTGGAAAAATGGTCATATTTGTGGTTGGGATTTTAATATTAATAAATTGAGAAGAGAAAGTAAAACAAAAGTTGCTTTAAAATGCTTACATAACTCACAAGATATTACAGAAGATTTTTTAAAAGAAGTAAGATGTTTTCTTATAAATCTTCATTAGTAGCCTTTATAAATGTTAAACTAACAATAATTTTCTTTTAAGATTGAATCAAATATTTTAGTATATAATACTAGTTGGGTAGTTCGTTGTTTTGGTATTACCAAAGATCCAAAAACAAATAATTTTATAATGGTGATGAAATTAATAACAGGTAGTTTAAGACAACATTTAAATAACAACTTCATTTCACATGATTGGAACCAAAAGTTGAGTAATTTATGTTTTATTGCAATTGGTCTTATAGATATTCATGATAAAGGATTAATTCATCATGATTTTCATTGTGGGAATATATTAAGTAATTTTGATAATTATACTTATATTACTGATTTGGGATTATGTCAACCAGCTAATATAGAACATTCTCAGAGTAATAATAAGAAAATATATGGAGTACTACCTTATATGGCTCCAGAAGTTTTAAGGGGAAAAGAATATACCCAAAAAAGTGATATTTATGGATTTGGAATCATTGCATATGAAATTTGTACAGGTTTCCCTCCTTATCATGATATAGCTCATGATGAATTCTTAGCAATGAAAATTTGTCAGGGGTTGAGGCCAAAATCTAATTATAAAGTTCCACAATTAATTGTTGATATTATTAATCAATGTTGGGATGCAGACCCTTTAAAACGACCTAATGCAGAAGAATTACATAAGTTAATTATTGGCTTAATGCATAGTCTCAATCCAATGGATTTTTATAGGCAAGCCAAAGAAGCAGATGAAATTAATAAAAAGTCATTTTCAACAGTTCAATCACCATTATCATTTACTAGTACACTCTCATATACAACACATCCTCAAGCAGTTTACACAAGTAGACTTTTAGATTTTAAAAACCTTCCAGAACCAAAAAATGCAGACAACAATGATTTAGAATATTCAGGTAATTTTAATTCAAAATAATTATTTAAATCCATTCAGAAAAATAATTATTCATTTGTTTTACAGATTCTTTAAAAATGGATTTTACTAAACCTGATATTAATCCTGAAGGTAATTTACTTTTGTGTTTGATTTTTTTGATCTCTTAAATTTTAATTAAACTTTTTTTTTTTTTTATTCTAGATGAAAGTAATTAAAACACATTTTACTTGGAATAAAATTATTAATATATACTAAAAATATAATTTATACCTTTTTTTTAAAAATTATTTTTTTATTTTGAACTTGGTGATAGATCGAGGAACATTTGATGGAATATAGTAAGGCTTCATTCATTATATTATCTATTATACAACATTGTAGTAAGATTAATAAATTTAAAAATCTTTAACAAATTTTATTAAATTATATTGTCTAAAATTAATAATAAATATATCACCAATATTTCACTTGTAATAAATTAGTATTGTGGTTTCTAAACAAGGGAACTAAGTTTATTGTAAAAACTACTATTCAGTGATACCTTACCCTTTATTACTGTATAACACAATCACTAAAAGTTCTCATTCAATGTGACTTGATAAATTATTTCAAGATATATAATACTGTATGTACAGTAAAATATCAGAATAATTTTTTGCGTTATATACTGTAAGTTTGAGATAAAAAAATTTGTTTTGTTAAGTTGAAGTTGAAAATCTCTCAGTTTGTATTTTGGAAATTGGAACCGATTAATGTTAATTCAATTCGTGATCCACAAGTCAATTGCAAATGATCCGCAGAAATGGGAATCTGGCGTGATGTCAAGTAAAAATAAAAAATTATATGAAAAAATTATTATAAAAAACAAACTATTTGAAACTTGGGATAAATATTATATACTAAAATATGTTGATATTGAATGGGTTCACATAAAGAGCATTATTTAAGGAGGGTATCAGAAAAAAATTACTAATGATCGACATAAATTTGCATACTTACGGATCACGAATTAATCAATTAAATAACTGATTAAGCCATCTCATCAAGTTAAACTCATGTTACATACCATAGAATAATAATACCGTATTTTGCAGTTAGTGAGCACCCCAAAAATAAGTACCTCTGGCCAGAATTCATATAATAAAATGTTAGGACGTACATTAATACTTTTGATGCTTTTTCGACTTGAGATTAGAGCGCATACTAATCATTTTTTGATAGCATGTATGTAATTTATTAAATATTGATTCCTTAGTTAATAGGATTCCTGCTGGTAATCACTACCCTGCCTAATGCCCTATAAAAAAATTTGATACGTTTTTTATAAAGTTTTTATACGATTTTTTTCCTTAGAAATAACGTATCATAATAGGATACGGAAAAATGTACAATTCCGTATCACTAAAAATATGGTTTGGATACGGAATTTGCACGTGATTCATATGGAATTTACATGATTTGATCACTGATTTTATCACGAAATTTATACGATTTGGTCACTGAATTTACTATTTGTATTACAGTTTACTATAATTGTATTTTCATAAATCTAATTTTACTTTATTAAATTAAATAAAAAATAAAAAATAAACAAAATACAAATACATAAAAATATATCTTTCATTGATTGTAAAAAAAAGACAGCGTTCATGCATTTCGGAAAAATGTCAGGTAATGTAGAAAACATTCAGAATATTATCGGAATATCATAACGTTTACAAACATGAATCATCACATACTCTGAAAGTTTTCCGGATAACACCCGAATATATCAAAAATCTCAGACTTTTTATTTATAGGAAAAAAAATATTGACGTCATTTTTTTGTCCTTTTTTTTAAAAAAAATTAAAAAGTTTTCAAATTTTTAGATAAATATTTTTGAGTTTCACCCGCTTATATCATGTTGCATTATTTATTTAACACTTGGTACTCAGTAGTCCTCCAATAGTTTAAATAGTTTTAACTATTGTTTAAATTTTATTGGCTATTCTTAATTTAATTTTTACTTTAATTAGTTTCAATGAAAAAGGGAGTCAGGATGAGTCATTTGACTATGAAAATATAAGTTTGAAATAATCATTTTAATTGGGAATAATAGGGAAATGGTCAGGAATATCATAATATGAAAATGTGATTTACAATAAATTAATTATTTCAATCTTTCTGTAATGCCAATTAATAATTAATTCAAACAAAAGGCTAACGATGTTAACGTGCTAAAATGCAACACCAAATTTATATTAGACTTCTTTTAACCTTTGTTTTAACAATGATAAATAATGATTTAACTTTTATATAACTACTTTATACACAATACACATAAAAAAAAATAATTCTTTAAAGTATATTTTCTTAAAATAATAATTTTATTTGAAAGTGGCATTATCAATCTAATAATTATAACTAAATGAAATTGTTCAATAAATTATATCCTCCTTGATTATGGACGAGTATCCTCTCCCTATGAAAAAGAATGTCCAGAATTTGTCGAATTTGTCCAGACATGTAAAATTCAGGACAAATTTCGGATAGACAAAACTGGACAAATTCTGGAAACAAAAATCCTGGATACATTTTGGACAATCTCTGGACAAAAAAAAACCGGACAAATTCTGGTAGTTGGACAAGAAAAAATTCCAGGCAAATTCTAGACAATAAAAATCAAAAAATGTAAAAAGCAAAAAACTGGTATTTAAAACCTCTGTGTGTTTACCAAGTAAACTTAAAGAGCGAGAAAAAATACTATCTATGATGTTAATCCAATCTTGCGCGTTTTCGGATGTTTTCAGGACACTCATTTTGTCACAATTATATTCTGGACAATTTCAGAATATTTTTCGGACGCATTTTTTTCGTAGGGTCTTGTGCTTTTTCATTTACATCCATATCGTATTTTATATTTTTATTATCTTTATTATATAGTTTGATTCCATTCTTTTCCATAACTTTACGAAATTCTTCATATGTTTTCGAAGTATAATGAGTACACAGATATGGCCTAACACCAAATGGAAGCAACCAATCACCATCCCTATAAAGAAGATCTTTTCTTAAAAATTTTGAACTAGAATCTAATTCTAATGGAATAGTTCTATCTTTAACCATTATCGTTGGAAGAATAGAATTGATACGAGCAGACATATAATTCATATTGTTCCAAGAAGGTCCAGTATCAGGAGAGAAACGAGCACGATAAGTCTCGATATTATCATGCATTAATAAACCTCCAGCTTCTACGATATTTTCTATCATCCACAAAAGAGTTGCATTAATTATTCTTTCATTGCCTTTAAGTGATAAAAAAGTTCCACCACCTATTTCATTATGTACACCCGGAAACCAAGTCTCTTTTACGATAGTACCAGATTTGTTCGGAAGTATACGACAAGGTTCAAAGAAAGCACTGTTTTCATGAATAGCTAAAGCTTGACAAGCAAATTTAATTATACTAGGTACTTTTTGATCATATAATTCCAAATATCGAAAACCTTCACCAATTGCATAACCGGGTAAACCATGAGCGCCAACAGTATCCCATAATCCAAGGAATTTTATAATTGGTTTTTTAGAATCAGGATAACTGAAAGATTTTTTAAATTCTTCAGAACCTTTTGCTTTCGGGTGTTTAGCTAAATCTCTATCACGATAAAAACCATAAGCAAGATCAACACTTTTGTCAATTTGATCAGGGTTGATTTCTCGATTTAATATTCCACAATTTCTTATCATTCCAGCAATACATCTCGCAGTATAAGCGCCACGACTAAAACCAAAAAGCCATATATCATCATCAGGATGATAGTGATCAACTATAAATCTGTAACCTTCTTTGATTTTATTGTCAAGACTAAAAGCTATAGCTCCATCAACGGTAAAATTCCAGATCAATTCACCAACTCCAACTCCGTCTATATACAAAACATGTTGTTCAAATTCTCTCTCAATTAATTCTTTATATAATGTAAAAACGTTTGTTTGGGAATTTGGATTATTCCATGTTCCATCACACATTACGACAATATTTCTACCCATTTTTACAAAATTTTCTTGTTTTTCTTGAAGGTTTGTGTTTTGTTTATCTAGAAAAAATAATACTAAAAAGAAATATGAATGAAATTTAAAGCGAAGAAATTATCAAGTTCAACGGGTAATATTTATAACATTTTAAAAAAATAACAAAACTTACGAAAAAACACATGATGATCACCAAATGACGACAGTCGGAATTCAAATTCCAATAAAATAAATTCCCTAATTTGTTTCATCCAAAACTAAAATTAGAAAACGGCAAATTTTAATTTAATTGTCTTTTCTGAAAAAGTTTGTCTTTTTTTTTTAACTTTAACAACAAAATTTAAAAGGATGATCACTAACCAAAATCAGATTATTGATTGAGAATGATTATCCTTTATCAGGTTAGTCAATTTTTTTATCGGTCTAGTGAAATTTTTTAACGGTAAAGCAAATTTTATCTTTTTTCTGATTGGTACAATTGTTTATTTTTATTTATTTTCTTAATCCGTTTTTAACCATAATTTTTTTTTTAGCATTATAATTTCAATCGGAAAATCGGTAACTCGTGTGACATAAACAAATCAAACAATTCTTTGCAAATGAATATATGATTATTATATGTCGTCATTTATTTATATCAAAAAACAATATGAAATATTGTGATATTAAAACCACCTTCGAACGATTTTGAGGCTATTCATTCAAAATATCAAAGCATTTTTCTCATTTCTTCAAATATGGCTCATCATTTATTTCGTCATTTCGTCATTACTGTATTAAAAGGATTATTCTATTATTAAACCAATTATAATTAATTAAATACCGTATTCAAGAAAAGAAACGTTTCAAAGAATCTTTCTATTTACAATAATGATTTTTTAACGAAATCATGAATAATTTTTTATTGTTGTCGTAGGCTTAGATTTTTTTTTCTAACCAAATTATTGATATTAATGATTTTTAGACGCAGTAAATTTCTAAAAAAAGAACATAAAGAAAATAAACATAATATCATATCATCAAAAATTTTTTGCTAACTAATAATAATTATTAAAAATGGACTACATAGATCAAAGATTTAAAGCAAAAAGTGAATGAAATTAAGCATTGAATATTATACAATCGTAATATAAATTATAATAATTATTATCGGTGATTTCATAAGGATATTTTGTGTAACCGCAGCATGATCAATAAATAGAATATCCGTTATAAATTTTGGTTTTTTGAAAGATATTAACGATATTAACTGGATATGTCTTAGGTTATGTCGCAAAAATTGTTTGATTACCGGATTTTCCGTAGAACTATTTTAAATGAAAACTAAGTGTATAAGTGGTGACATAAAACATTTAAATCTTAAATTTTATTTATTCCAAACATAATAATTTCAGAAATAATAATTTATCGGTATCATAATGGCTCACTTTTATAACGAACTCGAATTTCCTAATTAAGAGACGCTTGTTATAACGATCTATCATTAAAATTCTTCAAATTTTCGTTATTCATGACAATCACTTCGCTATAAAACCGACTGTGGTTTAAAATTTAAATTTTAAAAAAAAATTGTGTACAAATTAAGCACAGAAACAATTACTATAATTTTTTATGAGCAAAATAATGTAATTATTATTATGTCGCAAAATAGGATCATGTTGCTTTTGCAAAGTCAAAATCTCTGCCCTCACGTGACTTTTCACCAAACTATAATTGCATAACAGATAAAATATTATTGATATTGTTAACGCATTACATCATCTATTTGACCCATGAAATATGCCAAATAAACATATGACATGTAGATCACGTAACTTGCTCCTCATAATAACTAGCCTATTGTGTGATCGACGTAATGATAAAATAATGACTTATGTATGACAATCCTTTATTGTATATCTTGCGTACGGAAATTCTTACGAATTAGTAGAGATTCGAATAATGGTTAAGTCGTTAGGGGTGATTGATTAATAAAAACATTCAGGCTTTGAAAAACATTTAACTGGTTCAATACTTTACAAGTGATCTCATGAATAGCTTTTGTTAATAATTTTTAATATATCATATTGAGAAGCTTAGTTAATTTATTTAATTAATATGTGAAACATAAAATAAGAGGATTTACAATTAATATATTTACTATTTTATCGGTCTTATATTTAGACTTTCTATTAATTTAATTTTCATATTAAATAAAGTAAATATCTAGTCCCACGAAAAGCATTTATACTTAAAATATACTTAAAATACTTAAAATAAGTATCAATTTTAATTTGCGATATACCTAAAATATACCTAAAATACTCTTTAAATATACTTTTAATGTACACTATTCTAATTTCAGTATATTTTAAGTATAATTTAAGTATCTGGGCAGTACATTAAAGTATATTTTATAGATATATTGTAAATACAGTATATCGCAAATTAAAATTGATACTTATTTTAAGTATATTTTAATAAAATTTTTTTATTTTAAGTATAAATAATTTTCGTAAGGAACTAGAGTAACTTGGTAATTGTTAGTGAGTTATAATCATTATACTGTCAGATTGATTCGAAAATTTTAGGTCGGGTCATCAAACGTTTTTATAATTAAATATAAAAAAAATTGATTTTTTTTTATTAAAAACGTCAGACTTGACGTTTTTATGATTAAAAAATCATTTTTACGTTAGATTTGATTAAAAGTCAAAAAAATTAATTTTTTTGGTTAAAAACGTAAGACTTGGCATTTTTGTAATTAATAATCAAAAAAAAATGATTTTATTAATTAAAAATGTCAGACTTGACGTTTTTGTAATTAAAAAATCAAAAACTGAATTTTTTTAGTTAAAAAACGTCAGACTTGACGTTTCTGTGGTTAAAAATTAGAGTTCTGAACAGGTTGTCCAAATTCAGGTAACCTTGACAGGTTGACCTGAATTTATCAGGTCAGGTTTAGCAATTTCGATTTGGCATCAGTTAAGGTTGTAACATCAGTAAAATCTGAATGACCTGTTGACCTGAAACTAACAATACTATTATTTTATAATAATATATTAAAAAAAACATTGGGAAAATGATTTTTCTATAAGATTATATTAG